TTTATCGATGCCTTTACACTTTACTTTTGGAGTATCTTTTATGAATCATGTCGTCTCTGTTGCTGATGTCTCAAAAATAATTTATATGAACTAGAGTCGTTTCTTGTGGTTCTTAGCCTTTTTGTGGCTCTAGCTGTTTTCCCCCAGACTTTTAATTTTCTGTATGTTTTCTTCTTTTTCTCCCCCTCAAAAAATCTAACGCTCAGGTACATTTCTCAATCTATCACTTTCTAACATGCACATTCCCTGTCTCGTCTGTCCTTAGCTTTGTTCTTGATCTGTGGGTTCTAATTTGTGAGCTATGAGCTCAGATCAGGGTCTTCCTCCTGTCCTGTGGGGGTGCAAGTATTTGAGGCTACGACTTTTCCTTCAAAGTTTGCATTAGCTGCATCTCGTGGGCCTGCTGTGGCCTCTGACCTCACTGGGCCTTCACCCACCACCACGCTCCTCCCACATCACGAAGGTCCAGCACAGGACACCCAACATGAAACAATGCAAACCACATATGTAATTTTAACTTTTCTGCATTGAAATAAACAGATGAAAATAATCTAAGTATTTTATTCAAATCAATATTCCAAGTCGCTTTCAAGTCGATGCGTAATCAATCACAGAACCATTTCTAGGGAGTCTGTCCGTGTTTTTCTGTGCGGGTCTTTGATATCTGGGACGTACTGGACGCTGACAGCAGATCTCAGTCCACACTGGCCCATTTTGGGGAGTGGCAGCACATGGCCCCATGGCGGCAGGCGCCTCTCAGGGTCTCTCTGCTTCTCCTACTTGCAGGACGGCCCTGAGCAGGTGCTTTGTCACACCCAACGGGGGCCATGGTCCCCCCACGTTGGAAGCCCTGGAGGAGACGCCAAGCCAGTGTCCACACACGTCCCTCGGTGTTGGTCAGCACCACAGGGGGGCAGCTTGGCGTCAGATGGAAGCCCAAGGCCAGGGCTCCCTCAGAGGCCTCTCGCGGGCCTGCCGATGGTCGCCCTCCTGCTGCGTCGTCCCACGTCCTTGTGTGGGCACAAGCGGAGCCCCATGTCTTCTCACAAGGACTCGGTCACGTGGGAGGGGGGCTCAACCCCTGACCCCTCGGCCTTAGCCACCTCGTCAAAGGCCTAATCTCCAAACGTAGCCACATGCCCGGGGCCAGGGGCCAGCCTCGGCATGGTCTGGGGACACGCTGGTCCCTAGGGTGATCCCGAGCACCTGCCACCTCTGTCCCTGGCCCTCATCCCTCCTCCCGCAGGCCACAGCCCAGGGTCACTGCCAGCTGTGGGCAGGGGAGCATCCGTGTGTCCATGAGGGGACGAATCTGTGTGGGGCTCAGGCCTTCTCACGGGGACATCTTATCAGGAGCCAGACGCGGAGGCTCCGGCCCCTGACACCAGGTTGCGCACCTGCTGTTCCTGAAGGTCAGACAAAGGAAAACCCAGCACCCAGGGTGCCCAAGACACACGAGGGCCAGCCTTGTGCAGGACAAGTCCATGATCACGAAGAGCGGCCAAGGGGCCCGTGGCAGGGCCCACCGACACACACGGCCCACCTTCCTCAGAGAGAAGCGCCATGTTAGGGTGACAGTGACACAGCTAACATGCCACTCCCAGCCACCCCCTCCTCTAGGGGTGCCAGTGACCTCATCCTGGCTGACGAGATGGCCGGGGCTTTTCATCTCTATTGCCCTTTCCTCTCTCTTCCTGCCTGGAACCCCTGTAAGGTTCCTGGAGTAGCAGCAGCCTTCTCGTAGACATGAGGAGGAAAGCCACATGCCAAGGGTGGCAGAGCAGAGCGAGGGCAGAGCCCAAGTCCCTGGAAGTCAGGAGCCGCCGCACCACCGCCTGGGAACAGGTGCCCGCCATCTTGCTATGTGTGAAATCAAACTCCAGCAACAAAAGCCTCCGTCAGTCACGGTTGTCCACCTGCCCATTGTCACGGCTGGTGCAGTGGCTGGCGCAGTGGCTGCCGGGGCGTGGCCGGGGCACAGCCCGTGTGCTCACAGCGCCGTTGCCCAGGAGCCTGAGCCGGGCAGCGTCACAGGCTGCGGGTGTCACACGTGGAGCCCCAGAGTCTGTGTTCTCCAGAACGTTCTTAGTTGCCAGTCGGAGAAACCAGTCTGAGGTGCTCCAGGGAAGAAAGGACCCTGCTGGCCAGGGTCACTGAACCAGGGGATCAGCTCGCTGGAGGCCTGGGCTTCTGTCCCCACTGGACGGTGCCCTTGGAGCAGGACGTCGCCTCCCACGGTCCCAGCAAGAGCCCAGGCTGCAGCCCCCGGGACCAGAGGGCCCCTCCCGCCCCAGCCCCGAGCCAGGGCCGTCCGCGCCACAGAACAGCGGGCACCCGGCCCCCTCCGCCCCGAAGAGACGGGAGAAGTCCCGCAGGGGCCTGCAGACAGCTGGACGATGCTCCCTGACGGCGATGGGGACGTCCCTCCCCAGCTCAGGCGACAGCACCCAGAGCCCTCGCTGCCCACGGCTGACCGTCCACGGCTGACCGTCCACGGCTGACCGTCCATGGCTGACCGTCCACAGCTGACCGTCCACAGCAGGCGACGCTCTGCCCGGCACTGGCCCAACCCGACATCACAGAGCACAGCAGGCCCGGCCCCTCCCTCCGCTGTCCCCCCACCGTGGTCCCCTTGGGCTCCCAGGTCCTGCGGGAGCTAAACAAGGACCCTTGGGCTCAGGAGAGTGACCAGGAGACACAAGGACAGCAGAGACCCCCCTGGGACTCTGTGGTCCTTCAACCAGAGCTTGCCCCACACTCAGCCCCAAGTGTCATTGGCCCAGACAAGGGGGCAGGGAGACTCGGGCCCCTTCAGGGCAGGGGACACCTCTCCTGACAGGTGGCCGGGGCCCTTAGGGACGCACAGGAGGCGCCCACTCTACTAGCCCCGGCCCTCGGCTTGGCTCGGGTTCCCCAGGGACTGTCACGCTCCACCGTGTTCTGGGGACAGGGCTCCGCCGCTCCGGCCCCGCCGTCCAGAGCACGTCGGGCCCAGTCCTTCCCCGCGGAGCCGCGGAAGCTCTTGCTCCCTGTCCCGGCCACCAGCCTGGGATGCAGAACCTGCCGGAGGGTCCCAGGGACCACCCAGAGGTGCCGGCTCAGCAGCCTGGGATGGAGCCGGGTGGCATCTGCCACGGTCTCCCCAGGCCATGGCTGCCCCAGGCTGACCGTTATGTCAGTGGTCACCGCGGCTCATGTGGCTGGGACAGGGCACGGACTCTTGGCCCTAAATCAGTTCCCAGGTCCTGCTGACCCTCTCAGGTGGCTCTCGGCACAGATGATCAGAGGATGCGGCTGGGCCCCTTGGCTTGGCCACCAGGTTGACCCCTGTGCCTGGACACTGGCAGGTAGCAGGGGCTTTGCTGCCTCACACTTACCTGACCCCCGGGAGGACCACCGAGGGAGGAGGGGCCGTGAGAGGTGGAGACTGAGGTGTGACAAAGGTCCCCACGGGGCCAGGTTGGACTCCGGCCTCAGGTCTGTCCGGGGCCCCTTCCTGGGGGCTGCGGGAGGACAGCCTCCACACCCCCTGGTCCTCGGGAGGCAGGAGCCCTGGCCGGGTCAGCTGCAGTGAGCCCTGTGAGCGGTCACACTGTCCTGTGTCTCCACCCGGGCCCCCTGCACATGTGCTCATCGAGAGTTGGAGGCCCAGAAAGTCGGAGCAGGACACGCCTCAGGACACTCACAGTGACGGGGACCCAGAGCCTGGGGCAGAGGTGGAAACCGTCCCTGCACCACCCCACGCCGTGGGCCGGCCTCTGCCTGGCGGGTGGAAGGCGGCTCTGTGCCTGCCCAGCAGGTGAAGGGCCAGCGCCGTCCACCCCATCAGGTGGACCCTGGGGGCAGGGAGCATTCCCCAGAGCCACCAGTGGACACAGTCCTGGCCAATGCACCTCAGCAGAGACCGAGGACACCCTCTGGCTGTGTGTGCGGCCGCCGATAAACGCGTGTCCACCCTCCAGAGGGGACAGGTGGCCCCTGCAGGAGGCCTGGGGAGGGGAGGGCTTCCTGCTGGGCCCGAGGCCTAGTCCCTTTTGGGTCTGGGGGGCCGGGGCCTGGGCGGGGCCAGCCTGTGGTCGAGGTAGGCTCCGAGACAGGACCACAGGAGGAAGCGGACCAGCAGGATGACCACCAGCAAGACCAGGAGCAGGTCGGGGCCCGAGCCGTCCCCCAGCCAGGAGGCCATGCTCACTCCGGCCTCCGGGGGCCCCGTCAGGCTTCCCTCCCACCAGACTCCAGCCAGGGCCTCCCCGGCGGGCGGGCGGGCGGGCCAGGGGACAGATCGGGGCTGCAAGCGGCCTCCTTGGTCAAGAGGCCCATGTGCCATTCATCCCGAGGCAGCCACTCTCCGGGCCCACAATGACAGCATTGTCCCGAGGCCTGGGGGCGGGAGGCCGCCTGGAGCCCGCCTCCCTCGCTGTCCCCGCGGCCCCTGCCCGCCAGCACTGACGTAATCCCCCAACATCTCCGGCGGTGGCAGCTGCTGGGCGAAGCAGGGCCGCCTCCGGCTCCTCCAGCCGCCCACGCAGCTCTTCCGGCCGCCGCGAGACAATCGGGCCCTTTCTGTCCCCAATTAGCTATCACTTCTGGAGCCGGCGCTGCCCGAGGCCGGCGGTCTTTGCAGCAGCAGCAGGCCGGACGGACGGGGCGGCGGCTGCACAAACGGGAGGAGGACAGTCGGCTGGCCCAGGGGCCACCCCAGACGCCGCTCAATTAGCACATGGCCCGCATCCTCGTCCTGAGGCCCAGGACATCTTGGGGGGTCAGCGCAGGCTGCAGCAGGACAGCCCAGGGAGGCCCAGCCCCCGGACTCGCCTGATCCCCCAGGAGGCCGCCGGGCTGCCCAGCGCCTCCTTCTCACCCACCAGCCCACCCAGAGGCCTGGAGGGGACCTGGCCCTCAGGGACAGACGGTCCTGTTGGTCCCCGCACGTCCCTCACAGGGTCCCTACCTGAAGCCCAGCCTCCACAGTCACCAGAGACCAGGGCCAGCCGCTCGGCCCTCGCTGCGGCTCCTCCTTGGACCTGGCCTTGGGGGACAGAGGCGGCCACACCTGCCCAGGGCACCCCACACCTCTCCTCTCCCAACGCCGTGCGCAGGGACCGCACCCTCACGGGCCTCCCAGGAGCAGCACTGGCCTCACAGCGGAGCCCCCCAGCTCAGGGGCCACAGCAGGACCAGGGGGTCTGGCGTGGTCCAGCGCAGCCACACGCTCACCAGGAAACGGTCCAAGGAGCTGAGGAGAGGCGAAGGGGCCTTCTAGGGCTGTGGCCTCGGGGACCCGTCCTTGGCCACCTGATGCCAGTCCCGGGATTCTTCTTCAGATGCAGAATGAGTGCCGGCCCCACTCAGGCCTTCTAGAAAGTTCCAAGCAGGGACAAATGCAGGGGATTGAGGGGACGCACCTCAGAGAGGAGGAGGAGGGCGCCACGGCGCTGGCTGGGCCTTCCTGACCGCGGGACCCCACCCGGGCCCTCTGCTGCCCCGTCCACCCTCCCCACGGCCCTCGGCTCCCTCCCGGGCACCTGCGAGGGCCAGGGTCTCTGCTCTGCGCCGTGGGGAGCGTCTGTCCACAGAGAGCAGCCCCCGGCTGTCCAGCGCTTGGCAGACGTCGCTCTCAGGGGCACCGAGCTCTGGGTTCTCCGTCACTGCAGACGGCGTGAGAGTCGGACGTTAGGAGCCCGCCCCGGTCGGTACCCGGGCAGGGCTCTGCTGGACGAGGGCTTCCAGAACTCCCTGCCCGCCAGGGGGGGGCCAGCAGGGAGCAGCCACCCACCTGGGAGGACTGGAGGCTGCGGCTCGGCCGATGTAGCTCACCCAAGAGGCCATGTCTGGAGGACGGGAGCCGCCCGCCTGCGCCAGCCACCAGCTCAGGCCTCCTGGGCAGGTGGGGCCCAGGTGGCTCTGGACAGAACTCCCAGTGTTTGTCCAGCACAAATCCACACACAAAGTCAACAGCTCCAGTCACGTGGTCACACACAGGGGACTCCAGGGCACAGAGGCCTGGACCCTCCCTCCCACTCACACGTCCTGGGCCTCGGGAGTGGGAAGGACAAGGTCAGCACGCCCTTCAAGGAAGCAGGTGACCGAGCTGTCCCTGGGCAGCATGGTGACCGTGCCCAGGGCCCTCTCCTCCTGGGGTGGCTGCGGGGCCACGGGTGTGGGGTGCGGGTGTCCCAAGGAGTCCCTGAGAATGAAGCACAGCCGGCCAGCACTGGGCGGGGGCGGGTGCTCCTGGGGGCTGAGGACACCGTGGCGCTCCCCACTACGAGGGAGGAACCCCCACCTGGCCCCCAACTACCAGGGACAGTGACCCGCCCTCCACTCCCGTCCCTTGGGCCCTTGGCAGGGCCTGTACACCACCTCAAAGGCCCTTCACCCCCAGCCTGCCTCGGGGTGTCCCGGGCTGCGGGATGCCCACTCCTGGGAGTCACTGGCCTCCACTCCAGGCACCCTGGGCCAAAGACTTAAATAGGGGTGACCGCCGGGTCCCTGGGGCAGGAAGGAGAGAGTTGAGGGCCACTTAAAGGTGGGCTCACACTGAATCCCCTGCCACTGGGCATCTAGAAGGTGGGCTCACACCGAATCCCCCGCCAATGGGCATCTAGAAGGTGGGCTCACACAGAATCCCCCGCCAATGGGCATCTAGAA